GGTTTTCATCTTCTTAAATTGCAGCATTTTAGGTTTCATGTTTACAAATATTTTGTGTAGCTATGCATTGTCATTAATTCTTTTGCTATATATTATTTTATTGTAGTAAAGCTACCTTCCATTTATCTGAAAGCAAACTGAATTTTAGTGATTTGGGTTAATGGGTTGTTTCACGATAGAAAAGTTCAGTTCTGCAATATTTTCTTCTCTCATTCCTTTGATATTTTCTTTCCCCAACCCCTGTCTCTGTTTTCTCTCTCTCTTTTTTTTTTAAAGATTTATTTATTGTGCTCGCTTCGGCAGCACATATACTAAAGATTTATTTATTTATGCATACAAGAGCTGGGGTATAGGCCAGAGGTTTGGGGGTGAGAGAATTCACCAAAGACAGAGTGGGGAACAAAACAGGCAGATGTACTAAAATACGCCGCAGAGAGTAGCAGTGGGCGAGCCAGGAGAGGTCTGCTGCGCCATGTAGGAGGCTCCCTGGCCAGCCAGGGATCGAACTCGTGCTGCAGTGGCTGCAGATAGCTTCATAGGTGGCATCTTAACCCTTGCGCCACCAGGGAGGTCCCAATGTCTCTGTTTTCTCTTTCTAAAACTCCAAACAGTTGAATATTGGACAACTTGAATATTCTAGTTTTGTAAATTTTCTCCATAATAGGGAATATGAGTCAGCTAGGAGTAAAACAATATCCAGTTAAATAGTAACTTAAATAAATTAGGGAGTTAATTGGCCTGGCATTGTTTCAGAACATCAAGATAGTCGGGGCAATATTCTCTGGGATTGTCTTGGACTCTCGCTCATGACCACAAGGTAATTGCTACAGCTCCAGCCATCACATCTACAGTCAAGGTATGAGAAAGGGGGGAGAAGCAAGCAGAAAGAGTTGCATCTATATTAGGAGATTAAAGCTTTCCCAAATCCCTTGCAGACTTCAACTCATATACCAGAAATGTGTCCAAAGGCAAATCTAATTACAGCAGAGTCTAGGGAAGGATGTTTAGCACCCTATCCCGACAGTGAAGGGAGACAAAAGAAAAGAGTTGTAAGGGAAGAATGAGCTAACCAAGTATCCTATTTTACAGTCCTTTAAAAAAAAAAAAAAAAAAAAAAAACAACCTAGGACCTCCCCTGGTGGCGCAGGCGGTTGAGTGTCACACAGTGAAGCTGTCTGCAGCCTTTGCAGCACAGGTTCTATCCTGGCCTGTGGGGGAGGATCCCACATAGCGAGCAGACCTCTCCTGTCTCGACCACTGCTCCCCTCAGCAGTGTATTTCATCAGTCTACCTGTTCTGTTCCCCACTCTGTCTCTAGTGAATCCTCTCACCCTCCCCCGCATCTGGCCTGTACCCTGGTTCTGGTACAAAAATAAATAAATCTTTAAAAAAAAAAAGGGGGGGTTGGAAATTGTATGGGGACTATAACCATGATGAAAATGCATACATTGCACAAAAATGAAAAATGATGTAAAAAAATATATAAAATTTAAAAAAAATAATTAATTAAAATTTTAAAAAGTAAGGGTGCAAAGATTTCTATACTCAAATTGATAAAATAATAAATTTACTATGATAACTTGTCTTTATATATGTAATATCTAGAAAAAACCTTAAAAGTCTATATAAAGGGCCTCCCCGGTGGCGCAGCGGTTGAGCGCTGGGTTGCGAAGCTGCCCGCGGCCTCTGCGGCACCAGTTCGATCCCTGGCTGCTCCCCGGCCACCAGAGGAGGGTCCCACATGGCGCGCAGACCTCTCCTGCCGCCCGCTGCTCCCCTCAGCAGTGTACTTCGGTCCTTCTGCCTGCTCTGCTCCCCGCTCTGGCTCTGGTGAATTCTCTCACCCTCCCTCGCTTCTGACTGTACCCAGTGCTTGTATTAACAAAAAAGAAACAAACAAACAAACAAATAAATAAATAAATACATGCCTCTATAAAAATAAATAAATAAATAAAAAATAAAACCTCTTCTATAAATGATACCAAATTCTGACAAGGACTCAGAGAAAGTGGTTCACTCATGTGTGGTCTGTGGGGATGTAAAATGGTAAAGTGTGGTTGTTTCTTTAAACACTAAACAATCAATTTTCCTTTGACCCAGCAATTGAACTCCTGGGCATTTATCTCAGGGACATGAAGATGTATTTGCACAAAAATTTGTACAGAAGTTTTTTTTATAGAAAAATTTTTGTAGTAAATGCATTCATAATAGCCTCAGACTTGAAATAATCTATTGATAGATGTACTTCATTGGGTGAGTGGTTAAACAGTAGTCCACCCCTACCTTGGAATACTACTCAGCAATGAAAAGGGACAATGGAGAAACACAACCTAGATGAATCTCCATAGAATTAGCTGAGTGGGAAAAAAGCAATCCCAACAACCTCCATAATGTATGATTTCATACGTTCTTGAAATGACAAAATGATAGAAACCAAAGTAGATTGGTAGTTGCCAGGGGTGATGGAGGGGAAGCGAGCATGAGGGTAAGTTACAATTAGAAATGGTAACATGAGGGATCCTCATGGTGATGAAAATGTTCTGTATGTTGACTCAATCACTGTCCATCTCCTGGTTGTGATATCATATATAGTTTTACATGATGCTAATTAAGGAAAACTGTGGGATCTTTATTATTTCTTACAAATGCACAAAAATCTCTAATGACCACAAAATGAAAAGTTTGCTTTTTAAAAAACTTGGGTCATACGAAAGTCGATTTCATTTTCATAAGTGTGCAGTTTCAACCAAGACAGGCCATATGGTGGTGTTGTCTTGGCCTCACTCAGTTGTGTGGGTGGGGTGCTAGGCTAGGTGCCTCTGGGTCAAATATGGACCTTGACTCTGCTCCATGTGTCTCTCACACCCAGTCCTGGACATCCTCTCGTGGCTACTGAAGAGACTCACAAGAAAGCAAGCTCTGGGCCTCCCTGGTGGTGCAGCGGGTTGAGCGCACCACTGCAAAACTGTCTGCAGCCTCTGCAGTGCGGGTTCAATTCCCGGCTGGCCAGGGAGATTCCCACATGGCGTGGCAGACCTCTCCTGTCTCTCCCCCTACTCTCCTCAGCAGTGTATTTCAGTCCATCTGCCTGTTCTGCTCCCCGCTCTGTCTCTGGTGAAACTTCTCACCCTCCCGCGCCTCTGGCTTGTACCCCAGCTCTTGTATAAAAATAAATAAATCATATATATATATGATGGTAAAGTGTGGTTGTTTCTTTAAACACTAAACAATCAATTGTCCCGTGACTCAGCAAGAAAGCAAGCTCTGATGGACAAAAATCCTGGATACCTGGGCTTTAAAAAAAAAAAAAAAGATTTATTTATTTATGCATACAAGAACTGGGGTACAGGCCGGAGGTGTGGGCGGTGAGAGGATTCACCAGAGACATGCGGGGAACAGAACAGGCAGATCTACTGAAATACACTGCTGAGGGGAGCAGCGGGCGAGTCAGGAGAGGTCTGCTGCACCATGTGTGTAGCTCCCTGGCCAGGGATCAAACTTGTGCTGCAGTGGCTATGGATAGCTTTATAGGTTGCGTCTTTTTTTTTTTTTTTTTTAACATTTTATTGACATCTTTCCTTTATTTTTTTAAGATTTATTTATTTATTTTATTTATTTATACAAGCACTGGGTACAGTCAGAAGCACGGGAGGGTGACAGAATTCACCAGAGCCAGAGCGGGGAGCAGAGCAGGCAGAGGGACCGAAGTACACTGCTGAGGGGAGCAGCGGGTGGCAGGAGAGGTCTGCGCGCCATGTGGGACCCTCCTCCGGTGGCCTGGGAGCAGCCTGGGATTGAACCGGCGCTGCAGAGGCTGCGGGCAGCTTCGCAACCCAGCGCTCAACCTCTGCGCCACTGGGGAGGCCCTTATAGGTTGCGTCTTAACCCCTTGCGCCACCAGGGAGGCCCCCTGGGCTTTTTAAACACAGTGACCACTGAAGCAGGTCAGATAACTAAACCTGGGTCAAGGGATAGGGTAGATCATTCAGTCTACCTGTGATGGGGTGCACTGCAAAGTCACAGGCATGGGCACTGGTAACAGTGGAAAGTTGGGGCCACTGACTCTACCACCTCATCTTTGACCATTACCCCAACCCTCATTGCCATTCTCCTTCTCATAGGCACCCTGTAGCTACTCCTTGATTCAATAAGCATCCCACAGGATCTGAGTGTCCCTGCACCAAATACAGGTCACAAGAGAAGAGAGTAAGTGTCCACAAGCTTCCTACGATGAGCACAGCTGCCTCCAGACTGACGCAGAGCTGTCGGTCTCCACCTTCCAGCCTCACCCAAATGTTCTTCCTTCTGCTGCACCATCTCTGATTTTCTTCTCAACCCTTTGATCTTCTAGAATCCCCTTCTTTTCTAGCACTGACTTTATTAGAATTCACTGAGCTCAGTTCTGTAGGCTTCCATTTCCTCATCAGTTAAGGGCGGATCATAGCAGTAGCTAAATGGCTCCATCACGCGGCTGCAAGCATGACACACAATGCAACTCCAGAATGACTTTCCTGTGCCTGGTGCATAGTGAGCTCTCAAGAAATGGTAGTAAATTTTTCTTTTCTTTTTTTTTTTTTTTTTTTAAAGATTCATTTATTCATGCATACAAGAGCTGGGGAACAGGCCTGAGGTGTGGGGGTGGGGGGGGGGCAAGAGGATCCACCAGAGACAGAACAGGTTGCAGAACAGGCAGACTGACTGAAACACACTGCCAAGGGGAGCAGCTGGCAAGACGGGAGAAGTCTGCTGTGCCATGTGGGTCACCTCCCTGGCGGGGGATCAAACTCGTGATGCAGTGGCTGCGGATAGCTTCACAGTGCTATGTCTTAACCCCTTGCGCCACCAGGGAGGCCCTGTGAATTTTTCTTTTAATGGGGAGTTGAGAGGCGTGCTCAGCCTGACCACAGAGGGTTAAGGGAATCCCAGCATTCCATGATGGAACTCTGAAGACATTTTCCCACAGAAATGCCGCTCTATGACACTGTGATTGTGTTCTAGACACAATTATTACTCCCAAAGATTCTCTGCTTCTGGTACCCAGTTTAATCCTACAAGTGAAATGGGCCCTCCTGGGCTAACCTAACAAAAATCACCACCATGAAGAACACTGTCAAAAGGAGGAAAGGTGAGTTGTAAACAAGTCCATTCCAACTGAGCTTTTGAAATAGACCCACTCTTGAGTTTGGTGTTGCCTAGAATGTAATGTGAGGGGAGAGACTGTGGAGATGTAAACTTAGCAGGCTGATGACTAGATTTTCTACTGTGCTGACCTCTTCCTCATCAAGAAGCTAAGGAATGAGGCCAGATGACAAAAATTTCCAGGGTCAAGTGTAGGAAGCTGTGTTGTAAAAAGAACTAGGTAGACAATGGGGGAGGTGGGCCCATGAAGGTACAGTCAGTACTTGGTATGCAGAGGCTGGGAGACGACTTGGGACGAAGCCTCCAGACAGGATCCCAAGTACAATCCCACAGGGTACCTACCTGTTGGTCAGGAAGTGGAAAACAACCAAGGTTTTGTTGGTTTTTTTTTAAGATTTATTTATTTATACAAGCACCAGGGTATAAGCCAGAGGTGTGGGAGGGTCAGAGGATTCACCAGAGACAGAGCAGGCAGATCAACTGAAATCCACTGCTGAGGGGAGCAGCAGGCGAGACAGGAGAGGTCTGACGCAACATGTGGGAATCTCCCTGGCCGGCCGGGATTGATCCGGCACTGCAGAGCCTGCGGACAGCTTCACAGCACTGCGCTCAACCCACTGAGCCACCCGGGAGGCCTCAACAACCAAGGTTTTAACCCGAAGCTCTTAGAGGTATATCTGGGATGCAAATGGAAAAGGAATAGCTAGAGCCATAATTTGAAAGTGAAATGGAATGGCCAGAAGAAACACAAAAGCTGTGGCCACAGGGAGGCACCTAGAAGAGACAGAATCAAGGTCTTTAAGGCAGTGCCTGGCAAGATTTGAATAACACCAACACCTGGAGTAAAGCGAGAGGGCACAGGATATAAGCTGCTAGACACTCGGGGTTTTCTGCTGCAGTAGACTTCAACGTGAAGGTGACTTTCTGAGCTCACAGGTCAATGTTGAGCAGCTGAGAAAAGTGAGAGAAGGGAGAGAGGAGGTGGGGGAGGGACTGACTTTTGGAAGCAGGGTCCCCTCTGTACATTGGACTAGCAAGAGCCAAGAAGGCACATGAGTGAGATCCCGGTGTACCCGGGGATCACTGTGTCTGCAAATACAGGGTCCCCTGAAAGGCACCAAGACCTTTAGTAATCTGAAATGCAGGTAGCATCAGGGAACCTCAGAGGGGTGCCACATTCCTCTCTGCCACATCTCAGCAGCAGTCAGCAACCTCTGCTTGAGTGTCGTCACAGGTGGAACCTCACCCCTCAGGAGGCACTGTCTCTTAGTGACTGTCAAGTGAAGAATCCTCTCCAAACAGCCAGGTCATATCTGGCCCCTGGTGACTTCCAGATCCTGGTCTTACTCTTCTCTGGAGTTAAGTAGCTAAATCTAATCCTTCCTCCCCACGAGAGTCACTTCTACTCCTCTAAATCTCTTTTCACAGGTAAATTGTCCACATTTCAAAACTTTCATAAGCAAGTCACTGATCATTGCAAGGAGGCCTAAGGTATGCAGAATACTGTACTTGTGCTAAATGGAATCCTGAAGAGAATAAGTGGTCTGCTTGCTCTTCAGCCAAGTCAGGTGAAGACAGAACCATGGACGGAGGACTCCAGTACAAACAAGACTGACAAGTACTGTAATCAATGTTCAAAACTTACTGTGGTGTAGCTATGGGGAAAGAGTAGATCAATTCAACCTGGAGAATCTGGAAAGGCTTCCAAGCAGAGATGGGGCTCCAACTGGGGTTTGCAAGACAAGCAAACATGAGCAAGGAGGCAGATAGTGAGTGGACGGAGCCCAGGGCATGGGCTTGAAGACCTTGGCGCTTAATTTCCTGTTTGACCTTAAGCATATTTAAAAATGAAAGCCTGAAGCAGGTATCTCTGGAGCCCAGGGAGCAAGACTCAAAAGGGTATAAGTCTCAATATTCCAACTTAGGCAAGAGTCCAAAGGGTTAAAACTCTGCCCACATCAGCAGAGGAGTGTGTGTGTTTGTGGGGAAACTGGAATAGACAGGCAGAGTGTAATTCCTTCAGTATTCTGCCTATCGCACTGATAGAGCCCCCAACACCATTCTGGTCCTTCTTAGAATGGTGATGAATTCACTATCAGCAGAGGCAGCAGGAACTCTGAGCCTTTGGAGCATCCTAGATATTTATATCCCACTGGATCCTTACAACAGCCCCGTGAGGTCTGTGCAAGTTTATCATTTCCATTTTACAGAGGAGAAAGCAGAAGCACAGAGAGATTAAATAACTTGCCCAAGTCCACAGAGCTAGTCTTAGCAGCAGAACTGGGATTTGGGCTTAGGAATCTAGCTTCCTTGCTTTACTTTTTCAATTAAAACACACACACACACACACGACTATATGCATAGCTCTTCTGGCACTTTCTGGAGACCCGGGAGATAGCACCTAAACTATTGTGCATTCCCACACACCCAGCCTAAGACAACATCGAAGTTCTTTCTTGCAGCCACCCCATGCTGATGGTTCACACTGAGCCGGCAGTCACCTAAAACCTTCAAAACACTTTTCACATCAGCTGCTGTGAAGCCAGGTCAGTCCTAGTCATGCAGTTGGTTAGTCCTAAATGTTGACTTTTCTATTGAGTTCTAGCCCATTCTAGGTTTTAGCTCATAATTTCATCTTAGAATAAATTTGAAGCATGTTATCCAGTGTTTATCTCTCCCAGCTCAGTAATAAGAGCTAATGGGTCTTGGAGCATTAACTTCATGCCAAGCATCATGCTAAGTGTTTTCCATGTAGTTTCAAAGACAGTTTAGTTTTTTATGGAGTCTGATGGTGATAATGATGGTGATTTACGAGAATAGGACTCAAGGCTAGTGAAGTTAAGAAATTTGCCCAAGGTCTGGCCAGGATATGACAGAACCAAGGAGAGACCCACAATTGTCTGTGGGCTCCCATCCACGGGCTCTTACTTCTTTGCATCATCTATAAACTTGCCATAAAGTCCACCACAAAAAATACCAAACAGAATCAAGGACACAGTTCAGAGGTAAATTGTATCCCCCCAGGCATACAGGCACCAATTTTTCCTGAAGTTACAGAGATTGAGGCATTTTTACATAATATTAAGAGTCAGAGAAGTTGAATGCTTTGCCCGAGCTCATATAACCTAGAAAAGTAGGAAGAAAAGTACATAATCCACAGAGGTCAAAGCTCTTCTCTCCATCCACACACACTTGGCGTGTGAGGAACCATCCACAGAGTTTTGCAAGTACCGTGTCAGCTACATGACAATTCTGACAATTCTCCAGCTTGTTCACACACATCTCTTGAGACCCTTATCAAAAGTACTGCGGCAGTGAATTTGCACTTCATCAAACTTGCCCCCAATCTAGGGAAGACAGACTTGTTTGTCCTGACTGACTCTCTGTGAACACACAAAGCTCCCCATTCTAACAGTCCATAAGTCATCCATCAACAATCCAGTGTAGGCTTTTGGAGCCTGTTAACATAAATAAGCGTGAGTTTTTTTAAGGCCTGCCAAGTCCCTGAAAGCTGTGCAAGTCCTCTCTCTACTCAGGAACCCCCAGCAGAAGCCAGCAATGGCCCCAACCTGAGACTGGTTTAATGCTGCTAAACACGAGTCTGCCTTCTCCTCTTTATCAGAAGCCGTATCTTCCTTCAGTCATTTCCCACCGAGACTGCTTTCCTTGTTAGAGAAGAGAGAAGTCAAATTAGATCCATGTGCTTCTGTTTTCTTTCTGCCTTGTATTGCTGTCAATGAATCTGAAAATCCTTTCTCTTATCATTAACATTTTCCAGAACCTCAGCTCAGTCTGCTGTTCCAGGCCTATTCCCCTCTTCTGCATTTGCTTTTCTGTCATACCCCACATTAACATAATGAAGGATAAAAATCATATGATTATCTCAATAAGAAAAACATGACAAAATTCAATAATGTATCCTCATGGCAAAAAGTCTGAACAAATTGGGTATAGAAGGAACATATCTCAACATAATAGAAACCATATATGACAAGCCACAGCTGGCATCACAGTCAACAGCATAAAGCTAAAAGCTTTTTATATAAAGGAACAAAACAAGGATGCCCATTTGTGCCATTTTTATTCAACATAATACTGGACATCATAGATGGAGCAATTAGACAAGAAAAAGAAATTTAAATTATCAAAAAGAAAAGTAAAACTACTTACAGATGATACGCTACAGTTAGACAATCCTAAAGATTCTACCACTATTAGGCTTAATAAATGAATTCAGTAAAATTGTAGGATACAAAATCAGCATATATAAATCAGTTGTATTTCTAGACTAAGAGTAATCTATCAGAAAAATAAATTAAGGAAACAATCCTACTTATATTAGCACCAAAAATAATAAAATATTTATGGATGAATAACTATGGGGAAAAAGCAAATAATAGAATGCTTAGGAAGTGTTACCAAGGAGGCAAAAGATCTATATTCTGAAAACTTAAAAATACTGATGAAAGAAATTGAAAAAAGAAAGATACTCAAATTTATGAATTGGAAGAATTAATATTGTTAAAATGCCCACACTGTTCCAAACCATCTACTGATTCAATACTATCCCTAGCAAAATTCCAATGGCATTTTTCACAGAGACAGAATGAACTATCCTGAAACTTACATGGTTCCACAAAGGACCACAAATAGTCAAAGCAATCTTAAGAACAAAACTGAAAGCACAGTGTTTTCTGATTTAAACTATATTACAAAACAATGGAAATTGAAGCAGGATGGCTTTCCCATTTGTTCAGACTCAGAGATTACTGTTGTCTCTACATCAAGGAACACAAGACATCAGAGTAGTTAAAGTTTATTCTAACGGTGCTTTCAAGTTTTTGGTTTGGGATTCGTTCCATCTACCTGTAACTGCCTTTTAGTCCATAGGAGACCTTGAGAGGTTGTTGATTTCATTTTCTTGTAGGCACATGGATTTTCCTGCAAAACTTTTGAGACCAGAGCCAGAGAGTTCTTACTCCTATCCAGGCAGGGGCTTTGAACTACTTTCCAGCCTGTCAGACCAGGGAGAGGGTCCCAAAGTGCAATTTCAGTTCTCAATCCCCCATTTTGACTCTACCTAACCTCATTTGCATTTATGACTATTTAGTTCTTCTGTTACAGAACCATCTTCTTATCCTGCTGTCTGCTTATCAAATTGGTGGTTGGATTTTCTAACTTCTTAATAATTGGTCATAGCCTTATGACCGTAAGTGTCACTTGCCTTGATATTTAGAACAGCAGTTTTAGATTCTGTATCATAATTTATGACACAGTCATTGCTCAGGCATCTTGTTAGCAACTGGCCTCCATCTTATCATCCTGACCTGGTGTCCTAACTTTCCTTAGCCAGTGTCAGTTTCCTGATGCCTTTATTATTATTTATTTTTATTTGTTTATTTATTTATTTATTTTTGCATAGTAGACCTGGGGAACAGAACAGGCAGATCTACTGCAATACACAGCTAAGGGGAGCAGCGGGTGAGACAGGAGAGGTCTGCTGTACCATGTGGGTCAGGTCCCTGGCCAGCGATCACTCACAGCTACTGTGATAGCACTGAGACCTAACCCCTATGCCATGAGGGAGGCCATCCTGATCCCTTTTTTAAATGAGCAACATGGATCTAAAAGTCAACTCTATATAATTTACTGTGCAGGAATTTGTTACAAGGGTTTGATAGGAGCCTTCCATTTAGGGTGCAGATCTTCAGATGGTGACATTTCCAGGAAACACACTCACCTGTGTATAAGTCAAGGATCTGCTGGTCTTCCTCTGCTAGCAGGTTAGCATCATAGGCATCACCCACTGAGAATGAGCTTTTACTATCTCAGCTAACACCCTATAATAGTGAAGCATACCTTCTTTTAATCATGTGAGTGCATATAGTCCTTCATCAAGACAAATAAGTGTCCTAGTGACAACTTCAAATGGGGACAATTTGTGTCTGCCAAAGGCCTGGACCTCAGATTAAGCGCTACCAGTGGAAGAACTTTGGACAAGGACAAAGAGTGCTTAGATTTTTTGGGTTTTGATTGCACTGTTGGCCACAGCCCAGAGGATGGGGTGATGAGCATCGTGGAGATGCTGATTCTGGCCTGAGCTTACAGAGTTCCCTGAGGAGCTGCTCTGTGGAGTGAGTCCCAGGTCTCAGCATAGATCAGCAGGCACTGCCCACATTGAAACTGGCACGAGCAGCAATTTGCTTACTGTCTGGGCCTTTCCCTGTCTGCACAGAAATCTTCTGCCCAGGGCCTCCCCAGTGGCGCAGCACTTGAGCGCTGGGTTGCGAAGCTGCCCGCAGCACCTGCAGTGCCGGTTGGATCCCCGGCCACTGGGCGAGGGTCCCACATGGTGCGCAGACCTCTCCTGCCGCCCGCTGCTCCCCTCAGCAGTGTACTTCATCAGTCTGCCTTTTCTGTTCCCCGCTCTGGCTCTGGTGAATTCTCTCACCCTCCCATGCTTCTGACTGTACCCAGTGCATGTATAAATAAATAAATAAATCTTTAAAAAAAAAAAAAAAAAAAAAAAAGAAATCTTCTGCCCAATGGGAAAACCTGCAAATTGTGACAAGCCCACCTTGGGGCACCAAGAGGGAGGCATATGGATAAAATCTATTT